GACCTGTGTTGTCAGAAGCTCGCGGAGAGAATCCACTATAAGAACTTGTTATTTTCCAGCCGGTCCTGCCGATTCGGTGAATATAATTGGCGTTTCTGACGTGCGACGGATGCTTTGGTTGTGGTTCTGGATTTTCTTTTTTTTTTACCCTGCATTTTTTTTTCCTTCTTTATTTTTCCCCTTTAATTATTTATTTATTTGTGTTGTACTTTATTTAGCTCAATGGATGTTGCGGAAGCAGATCGGATTTTGGAGCGTTCTCCACCCGATGCTCTCAACAGGGCGATTTCGACAGTGTTTCGTCGTCTTTTGGCGAATATTGTATTGGAACCTGAAAATCCAAAGTATCATGTAGTCCGAGAAGAGAATAAGTTTATCCGTGATGCATTAAACCCACTGCCAAACAGTGTAGTAGAATTCTTATTCGCAGGCATAGGGTTTAAGCGAACGCAAAACGCCAATTCAGAGACAATTTATGTTTTTGCAGGAAATACTGAAAATATCAAAGAAGCAGATCATTTTCTATCGCACTTGGAAGATCGTATAGAAAAAGAACAGAGAAAAGAAGCAGAAATGCATGTCGTTCCACCAGAAACTAAAGTAAATCGAGAACGAGAAGAAAGACGCCAGCAAATTCTTCAAGAAATCCAACGGGATGCGGAAAAACGTCAGGGTGAGACAACTGGGAGTGAACTCCCAACCCCTATAAATATCTTTTATCCCGGTGACTACACATTAGTGGAGAGCCTAATAGAAAAATCGAGACGAACTCTTCTAAATACGGGAAGAGTGCGAAATTTTCTCTTTGAAGGACGACACTTTACCTTGCGACGTATGGTCCACGGAAGGGTATATATATGTAAAGAAGGATGTGGAACAGATTTTCTGGAGGCGCATTGGCATCTTTTTACCGGAAAGAATTTGATGTACTCCTATGTGGCTCATCTGTCACCAGATGCATCTACCATGATGCATCTTGGAGTTGAGCATGGTTATCAGTACAACTCTTTGCCAGGCACAAAAAACTTTCGAAGGACAGTTCATTTTAGTGCAAAACGAATAAATGAAGCGAATGGCTCACTGGAATATATCGAACACCCTGATCGGCCTTCTGAAACATGTATTTATTGTGGTAAACCCTTTTCAGAGTTGTTTCTTTGAAGAGTCATTGCTGAAATACTTTGGATTATAGCTTATTTATTATTATTATTTTGGAAAGCTTTCTATCAGCTACTCTAAATTTTTAATTCCATTTTTTGTTTGTTTGTTTTCTTTGCTTGTCATTATATTAAAATGATGAAAATAGTTTTTACCGTCTTTTTTTTTTTTTTTTTTTTTTTTTCTATGGGAGATCATTATTTTATTCTTTTTTTTTTTTTTTTTTTTTTGCCCCTTATACCTAAATAAAAACGCACATATTCACACATATATACACAAACACACCAAAGTATGAGGGAAGATTGGTATTGATGCCTCCACGAACAAATATCCTGAATGTTCATTGCCAATTACATAAGCTCGTGGCTTAGCACATATATACGTTGGTTTACCAAGCATTGGAACAGAAATTCCATCTCGGTAAGCATTTTAAAAGGTTGCATTGAACTAAAGGATATTGAGTTAAATGCCGATATCACAGCATTTTTTAGGGCATCTATTCCTTTAGAAAGGGCCAGTGTGGGACGGTTACGGCTGACTGTTCCCTGGACAGCACTATATTCATGCCAATGCGAACTTTTTCTTGAGGATGTTCTGGCTGTTTTTAAACACCATTTTCAAGAGGAAGTTGCTGATGACGAGGGGAATCCTCTTGAGGGGAAAAAAAGAATAGTTGAACTTTTGGACGCCATTCGATATAAATCACAAGGGAATACCGAAACTAAACGTCAGGGGTTTTTAGAAAGACTTAAATGGGTTATATTTCGTAATATGAAAGTAGTTTTTAAAAATTTTGCGGTGAGGTATGAACTAATAGGAACCTCTTCTCTCAATGCTACAATAAGGCTACAATATCTGTCATGTATCGCGGCCAACGCTATGAATGAGCCATTTTTTGTCACAGATGATGAATGCGACCTTTATCGGATTATTTTGTTTCAAGGGCTTTCTTTTACTGTAGCTTCTTTGGATTGTATAGAAACTTCTAATCGATCATGGCGCATGGGTTCCTTGCATTCTTTTACATCCTTTTTAATTAAAGGAATGGAAAAGGAGGTAGAAAAGTTTGGTTACGTTTTAAAACCCTCTTCAGGAAGAGCATTTGGATCTTTACAATTCCAACCTCCCAAGTTACAACTTGGGACATTTGTTTTGGTTCATGATTGTGGAATAGATTTGGACCTTAAAAAAATTCAGGGATTATTGAAGATGACTTCTTATGTTGTTTCTTTTTGGCCATGTGACAAGGATGAAAAGAAGTTGCGACCAATAGAAAAACCAAGTACTGTCATACCCGGAAGTTGTGCCGCTTGGTGGAGGTATAGCATAGATCGAATTATATCAAATACACGGGGTTGCGTAAAAAGAACAGCATTTCATTGGGCTACATACCAAGAATGGAAGTGTCATTCGGAAGAGTATTACAAGCACTATCTCTTGACCCTAGGGGCTCCTTGGCTTTTTGGACTTGATGTGAATAAAACGATATTGGAAGAAGCATTGAGCTCCTTTTCTATCGGGTATCTCATTCAGATTCGACAAGAAGCAAGGTTTACTTTGGAAGAGTTTCGTTTAACTGGAAGGGTTTTTCCCCGACACTATGGGGATACAATTTCCGATCGAGGATTTGGTTACAAGGTAGCCGTTGTGGAGGTGCTGAAAGGTAGCGTGGTGGATTCCCCAATGCAGTTAGAAGTATCTATTTCTCTTGGAGTTCCTAAACTGCCTCTTTTTTTTAGGGGACACAACATGCATTTTAATATCGATTTGACAGATATGTCTCTTCGAGTATCTCGCTCTGCTGATCTACTTCAGATTCTTTTTTCTGCGTATTCAATTCAAGCTTTTTCGGAAGTTTCAGGTTTCAATCGTGTGGATACTGTTTTTATTATTGATGGAACTAAAACCACCAAAGGTGTTGTTGTTACCTATTTGCGAAATGGTAAGAATAAGGATCTTTCTTTCATTTTGACTTCTTTTAAAATTCGATATAACCAATGCATTGCGGGAAAGCTGATCGCTGAATTTTACATGCTTGAGTCGGAAAATGCACTTGGTTGGGATAATTTTGTGGTGTATTCGCTCCATGATGTAGCTTATCCACTGAAAACTCAAGTGAACATTGGAAATACGGCGTTAAAGTTGGGGAAGCTAGAGGTTTGCTTTGAGGACTTAAGTTTTGAGGTTCAATGGACATGTTCTCGTTTATTCGTGAGTGAGATTTCTAATTCACCGTTTATTGATTTAAAGAACGTCTTTCTACCCTACACAACAGATTCTTCCATTTTTATTGAGGAGTCCTACATATGTGGCGATCTTTCTAGCTTTTATTTATTGAAAAGCATGATACAAGATATGATGGTTATTTACGAGCCCATTATTTATTGGTTACGGAAAAGGGATACAATATATTCTACAGAAACAATGAATATATTTGAATTGGAATCACCTTTTTTTATGGTGACATTACCTGGGGAAGGTACTTTTTTAAAAATACGGCAATTTGCCATTCATTTATCAGTGGGCCCAACCTGGATATTGAGGGCTAGTTGTATAGGAATGGCATGTGATGGTGTATTAAGTGATACAAATATGCGCTTAATGGTTCTTGGAGGAACCAATAGGAAGGAAATTTTTTTGGATGGTCCCCTGAAAAATTCGGATGGTGATTTAATAGTATCTGCTACATTTGAAGAGGGACATATCATTGTTGACAATAGACTTGTGGGTTTAGTTGAATTTTTGAACGATCTACTTTTTGTAATGCTGTTCCCTGCCGAAATAAATTCACCTGTGTTCTTTGATGAAAGCGTGATGATTCCCTCACTTGAAGTCCTTATCTCATGTAGCAACTTATCTTTTGATGTTCTTGGAGAATCTTCTGGCACGTGGAATTTGCCATTGCGTTTCTCTTGTAACGGTCAAGAAAGCCTCTTGGTGGAATTTAAGCGGTTTCCAGACACTCACATGAACACTACTGTCACCTTTGGACGTTGTTTTTTATGCAGTGTGGATGAATTTACATTAATTCTCCCTTCCTATTCCAATAAAGGAGTCTTACAA